CGCTCCCTACTCGGTGGTGGCTTCCCGGAGCCCCGTGTTGGAAAGGATTCTGAGGCCGGGAGGACGCTCCGGGGAAGGTGTGTGGCAGCTGATGAACGCAGGCTGCTGCGGGCCCTGGCACAGAGCACACGCACACCGGGTACTGGCCACCACTGACCTGGTGAACTGTCTAGAAAGGAGAAGGGCTGGTGTGGAGGAGAGATGCCTGCCGGGGACTGACCCTATACCCCTGGCTCCCTGATACCAGCTTGTCTAGCCCTTTGATCCACTTTCCCCTCTGCAGAGAGAAGGAACTGGACTTTACTCACTTCATGAAAGGAGGCATAGATTTAGGATTGAGACGGCGAGAAAACCCAGATCCAGGGCCTGCCCATCTCCTGAGGTCCAGGTCTACACAGGACACTCCGCACAGGCTGCCCACCCTGCCATACGCATACGTCCCCTTTAAGAGCCTGCTCCCCTCCTCCTCCCCGCATTCAATCCTAGGGGACCCCATCCAGAGCCCCAGTCTTTCAGCCACTGTTTTCATCTCTCTCCTAAATGCCTCCCCGATAAAGGATTCCGTATCCACACCATAAATGTGAGCCCCTCCTATTACAGTTATTATTGGGAGGGATGAGAGCGTCGGCCTGGGGTTCCTCAACATTTTAGCCTGGAAGTTTCAACCACTTCTTCTCCCAGGGGATTCCCTGACAGCCAGAGGAATGAATGTCAGATAGTGGGATGTAGGTACGGTGACATCAGTCTTCTGGTCTGTAAAATGGGGTCATGGGAGAGTCAATCCCCTAGGGAAGTTGTAGGGATCAAAAGAGGTACACTGGGAACACGCACAGCAGCGGCCCCTGTGCGCACCCTGTAAACACAGCGGCTGCTATCGTTACTGTTAGGGAAGAGGAGTCTGCCTGGCCTCCCTCAAGATTCACCTCGAAAGTGGCTCTGAGACCCTCCTCTAGTCCCTGTTGGGCCTACAAAATGGATTTGGCTCTTTTAATTCCACCCCCTTCTTTCACTGCACGCCTGCTGCCTGGTCCTAGGTGTCATCTGATTTTCTCCGTTTGGGACATTCCAGTCTCTTTCTTCACAGCAAGCAAATCAAATAACAGGCAGCTGGAGTGCTCGTTAAGGGTCCCAGACCAGGAGAGGGGCGCTGATGGGGGAAGAGTTGGGGCCTGAGGTCTGGAAACCACACTCCTGGTTCCCCACAGGCCGGCTCCCCGCAGCCATCCTCCACCCGCTCTGACTCACCGCTCCCAGTGGCTTGGCCCCCTCGGGTGTGCTGTGGCTCGCCTCATCCCAGGCCTCCTCCCCTACCGGGTCCCTCCCTGCCAGCTCCCTCTCCCTCTGCCTCACAGATACACGGTCTCTGCCCCCAGCACGATGCTGTCCCCATCGGGTGTGCCCCTGGGTTCCTGCCCCCAAACCATCTCGCAGCTGTGTGCCTCACCAGGACTGCCCCGCCCACTGCCCTTCCTCCATCCTCCAGGAAGTGGCCCAGGCCTATAGGCGCTAAGGCGTGCCAGCCCCAGGTCCCTAGGAGCCCTCCCTGAGCACTCATTTGGTCCTGATCATGGCCTTCTGTGGTGGCATCTTTTAGTGCAGACTCCCATCTGCCATCTCTGGAGGGTCTTGCAGCAATCCCCAGAGGGAGGCAGGGCCGGATTTTCCAGAAGAGGAACCTGAAGTGCAGAGGGGTGGCGTGGCTGGCCTAATGACACGCGACTGGCAAAGACCAGCTAGAATCCGGGTCTCGGCCCCTAGGCTTCCCAGGGGCCTGTGTGCCCCTTGAGGGCAGGGACCCTCTGCACATCACTCCCCAGGATTGTTCTGTAACAGAACCATCTCCTCCCTCTCTTCTCTCTGCCTTGTCCTCTCCCTGGGGCTCTCTGCCCGCCCAGCTCTCTGCCTCACCCCTTCCTCTCCGTCGCCCTTTACTCAGACCTGGGAGAATACAATACACCTGGGAAAGGAAAGGCCCAGGGTGGGTCCCCTCAAGTTGCTCTGGGGACCTTTGCAGGCCTGGAAGCTGCCCCTAGAACAGCACTGTCCAACAGAACTTTCTCTATCTGTGCTGTCCAATATGGTAGTCACTAGCCGTGGTGTCGACTGAGCACTTGAAATGCGGCTGGTGCCGCAGAGGAACGAAAGTTTAAATTTTATTTAATTTTAGTTAGTTTAAATATTATGAGTTGCACACGACTAGTGGTTACTGTACTGGACAGCCTGAGCCCCAGCCCTGCAGCCCTGGCCACTGACCCCTTCCCCCCGAGGGACAGCTCCCTCTCTCTGGCTCCGACACCTTCCCCTGTGATTTCAGGCTCCTCACTGCGGCCACCATTTCCAGTCACCCCTCTGTCCTCGTTTCCACCCGCACTCCACGCCGTGGTTCCCTCTGGCCTGCAGTAGCCTCCCGTTTGGCTTCACTGCTTTGCCTGCCTTAAGCTTTCATTCTAGGAACTTACTGCCCTCCTCCAAAGCCTTCGATGGCTCCCCATTACTCATGTAGCACTAACTGTCCCTAAGGTTCTTCCTTGCCTAAGCCACCACCCCGCTCTCCCAGTGCTCTAGGGTTTTGGAGTTCCTTCAGTTCCCCAGGCAAACCCCTCCCTCTGGCCTCCAGGCCCCAGAAGTTGTTCCCTTTGCCCCTTTAGGACAAAGCCCCTTTTGCCTGGCAAACCCCTATACACCCTTTAAATCTTCACTTGAAAATCACTTCCCTAGGAAGCCTGCAGTAACTGCCACCACCATCAGATGATGGTGCACGTAATACATTCCCCAGGCCCCTCTTCTTTCATTATTGTAGCAATTTTTCACACGACAAGATCACTGCCCATTTTCTTCTTCGTGTCCTAGCTGTCTGTATGTTTAGGAGGGCAGAAGAGTCTCCTACAGTGCCTGGCCCACGGCCGCCTCTCAGTAAATATTTTCCAAATGAATGAATGAGAATGGACAAAAAAAGTGGTAGGACACAGTGGAAAGAGTGTGGCAGGAGTGTCAGGAGGCTGAAGTTCTAGTCCTGGATCTTGCCATGTGGCTCTGGATAACCTACTGCCCTTTTCTCGGCCTCAGTTTCCCCATCTGTAAAATGAGGGTCAGTTCAGATGATCTCTGGGGTGACTTTCAGCTCTGGCAGGTGAGAAGTTGAGAAGTCAGGGGAAGCATGAAGCTGTAGTTTGGAGAGGAGGAACCACATGTCAGATAAAAAGCCCCCAGGCCCTGAGCACATGCCACTGGGCATGGCTAAGTCTTAAACAGAGGCAGCAAGGAGCTGGGAAAGGTCTGGGGCAGGGCCTGGCTAGCAAGAGGGTCTGGGAAGGGGAGAGGGTGGAGAGAGGGACTGAGATAAACCCCCAGGGTCAGATGCTTGTCTCCAAGCACTCTATGTCCTGACACCCTCTTCACTGCCCAGCCAGTCCCATCTGCATGCTCAGCCATCCCACAAAGGCCGCCAACTCATGTTCCCTGAGCCCAGATATGTTTCAGCCCCAGGCCCAGGGGACTATAGGTGGCCTGACCAAGCCCTCTGGATTCCCTGGGGCCTGGCAGAGCGTGGGAATGAGCTGACAGCAGCAGTCATGGGTGCACTACTGGAACCAGTAATCTGCCCTGTGACCGCCCTCTTGCTTTGGCCCTGAGATCTCTCTCTCCCTGACCACCCTGGAGAACTGCTCTGCCAGGTGCCAGCCTCGGCCTGGCAGAGGCACCTGGGAGAAGCCTGGCTGTAGGAAACCAGCGCATCCTGCCAAAATGGCCACAGTCCCCATCACAGTTAGAGCTAGGCGCTAATGTTTGCCATCATCACCACCATTTTGCAAGCTCAGAAGGGTTGGACTATTCGTCCCAGGTTGCACAGCTTCCAAGTAGGGGATAAAAACCCAGGACTGCTGGACTCCACCACCCTGGTCTTCACTGTTCCATACCACCTCCAACTAAGTAAGAAATCTTCTCCCATTTCTTCCCCATGGAAACCTCGCATGGCCAGCCTACTGCAGGACCTCTTCCCAGACTGCTGCAGCCCTCACCTGCCTGTCCACCTTCATCTGGGCCCTGGGTCCCCTGTGCTTTCCCATTTCCATAAGTCACCAGGCCTCACCCTCTCAAGGCCCAACCTCTCCTCTGATGGCACAAGGAGGCTGCATGTCCCTCCTTCCTGGGGAGGGTGCAGTCTTTTCATTTACTTCCAAGATTGCATGGCTAAGAGAGACACTAGCAGCTTTTAATTCACTTGGGATCAAGGAAATTTGGGGAACAGGAGAAAGCTCAGCATCCTTTTTCCAGAAAAATACACAGGCAGAAAAATGTCGTGGACATTCCAGAGGCCCCTGCATAAGAAACCGGGTTTAGGAACAAGACGATATTGGCTAATTCGTGCCCAAGAACTGCAGAGCCAGGCGACCCACACTCGGGGCCTGGTGGCTTGGGGCAGTGAGCAGGGACCAGAGCACCACAGCCTGCAAGGACTGTCCCCTCTGGCCCCTGCAGACCCTTGGATGACTCACTCCTTCACTCCCTCACTCCCAACGTGCCAATAGAAGTCAGGCACCGACCCTCAAGGGGTGGAGATGGAGGGCCACGGGGGCTCAGTAAGCCTTGGCCCGGGCCGCCAGGCACCCTTCCAGCCGCGTGGGCGCGGGGCGGCTCTCACACCACCCGAGAAGGAGAAGTGGAGCTCGCCCGCCTCCGCGCGCCTCGGCGCCCTGCCTTCCTCCACCTGCCCCGAGCGCCCAGGGCGCTCCCAGCGCTGGACTCCTGGAGCGCCAGCGCAGGGCGGGAGCTGCCGGGTCACGCTTGTGCCCACCAGGTCCTCCGGATCTCTGGCCAGGCAGCGTCCGTGCGTGCACCCAACCCCTCCCGCAGACGACTCGTGCGAGCTCGGGGCTCACCGCCGGCGCAGACAGCGAGCGCCCGCGGGCACGGGCTGGGGAAGAGTCTGGAGGCTGCGCGAGGGGGCGCCGGGGGGGCCGGGGGGGGAGGGATAAAAGCCAGCAACAAAGAGCACAGACCTCGTCCAGCAGTTGGTTGACTCGTCCCAAAATAGCCGTCTCCATCTGCTGCTCCCCGCGCTCCGCTTCCAGGCGCAGCACCCGGGCCTGCAGCTCCGCCGTCCGAAAGTGGGCGAGCAGGCTGAGCGCCAGCGAGCAGAGGGCCAGCGCCAGCAGCCCGCACGACCCCGGGCTCGGCAGCCGCGCGCAGCGCTCCGCCCGCGCCGTAGCCAGCGCCACCGTCCCCGGCGCGCCCAGCTCCCCGGGGCCGCGGGCACGCTCCGCTGCCATCTCCTCGCGTCTTGAGAACCAATAAATAAATAAATAGAATAAATAAAGGCGAGAGCCTCTGCCAAAAGGCGCGATCCAAACTGCGGGGCACAGGGAAAGGGCTTGAGTCGCTGGAAACGTCCCTTTCCTTTGCTCCCGGCAAAGAGGACGGCAAAATTAGCAGCAGGAGGGTAAATGCCGAAAAACACAACCAGCGGTAATCGGGGTACACCAAGGTGGGAAAAAAAGTTATTTCGAAGAACGTTCCAGGTCCAGGAAAGTTAGGGGAATCTGGTCGGCTTTCCTTCTCTCCGCCCCGTCTTTCCCTTCGAGTATCTGCAGAGCAGTTGGTGCCGTGCTGTCGGTCCTTCTGAGTGTCTCGCCTCTCCTGGGCGAGCCAGTTTCAGTCCCCGGGCGAAGGGGCGCACATGGAGGGCCTCATGGGCAGAGGTGGGTCGTGGCCGCTGCCGAGGAGCGCTGGGGCCGATTCCGGCGCCTCTGTAACTTGACACACTGGCTGTGGCTGCACGGATCGGATGAGCAATCCGTGCTACTTCCCAAACTAATCTCTCCCGCCCCCTCCCTCCTCCTCCTCCCCAACCCTCCTCCACCTCCTGCAGGGCAGACGGCCTGGATTTGTTTATTTATGCAAACTCGCCCGGGGTGGGGGGCGTGGTGTGCAGTCCCGCTGCCCCGGCCGGCCGGCCCGGGAGCCCCTCTCCCGCGCTCCCCGTCCGCTTTGAAGTGACACTCCAGGTTATTTATAGGCAGGAAGAGGGTGTGGAGTAGAGCTGGGGCTACACTTCTCTCCCTTTCTCGGGATTCACGCCGAGGGCACGTTTGGCCTTGCGCGGAGGCCACAGGGCCAGGCACCGCTCCACTCTGCTTTCTGACAAGGTGGCAAAGCCTTTGAGACCCTCCAGGAACCCGGATGAGATTTTGTCAGGGCTTCTGGACGGATCTCCACGTCCTGAGCAGGACGATCCAAATTCCCTCGGCCGCCATGAGGCGCCCCCACCCCCTGCAACCTCTCACCCCTTCCTTCTCGCCCCAGCCGGCTCCACCGTGGGCTCTGGACCTCCCGAGCCCTGCAGCTACCAGCGCCCGTGGCGGGGCTCATTCCGCCCACTACATCTTTAATCTGGGGCGAAAAGCCAGTCCTCCAGGGAGCAGCAGAACTGGCACCCCTTTCTCTCTCTCAACACCTAATAAGGTCCGGGAGAATAAAAACTGAGTAGAAGGTTTCTTCCACGGTGTCGGAGAGGCGGTTCAGTCCCGCTGCCTATCGGTCTTGCTCTCTCTCCTTCTTGCCTGCCCTCGATCTGAGACCCATTCCATCCCTCCCAGCCTGCCCCAACCTTCCCAGCCTTCAGAGCAGAGCAATTCCTAGCAAACTCTTACTCCATCCCTGCGGGGTCCTGCCTGAGGCTAACCCCGCTCTCTCCTGCTGTCATTTCCTATACTCTAGCAGAGAAAAGCCGGTGGCCTGAAGGGCATTTTGTCGTTTCCTCTTTTCTCTTGTCACCTCCCCCCACTTTAAGTAACATTTGTACCCCAAGAGACTATCTCCTTGCACCTCTTGACATTCCTGCAAATGAGGTGGTGGGATTGAGTTTTTGGAGAAAGCCTATCTCCCAGGAACAGCAGGCAGGGGAGAGGGGGCTGGCCCTTGCCATATGCAGTGGGGGTGGGGGCAACAGAGGTGTTGGGATTCCGCTTCGTAATAAAGGGCATGCCAGTACAAACTTCTCATTTTATATATTGACCTGATGGAGCTTCCTATATAACACAGTATCAGGGCACATCTAAGAGTGTGGCACACTTAACAGAGTGTATCGAACTTGTCGCATAGTACTTAGATCATAAAGAATAAATATAACATTGACTGCTGGGTCAGAAAGCCACTGTGGAGGACAACAGGAATAGAAAGTGATGTTCCAGAAATGACTGGTGTCCAGGAACTCCGGGTTGCAGTCCCAGCTCTAGGATTTCCTTGAGTGCCACATTGGGTAAGTGTGCCTCTGTTTCTCCACGCCTGTGATGGGATGTCCCAGTCTGCTGTGCAGAGAAATCCTTGCGAGAGAACACAGAGGCATCGAAGACCACCAGGGGGCGCTGGAGAGTTGCTGCACCGGGAGGTACAGGCCAGGAGATCCCGGGACTCCGGCTTCTCCCACTCCTCTCCCAGGCCAGACTGATCCAGCGAACAGAAGTAGGGAGTTAGTTTCATTCTTTCCTTATTCTGCAAGCTTATCGTTTCCCTTTCAGGACTTTAGAGGCCCTCAGGAATGCTAAGGCAGCAAAACCTAAAAAGTCTGAGGCTGGAGCATCCTTGTAATCAAGAACTGAAAGAGGAGGGTGCCATGTTGGCCCAACCTGACTCCAGCATCAGAAACATGTCCAAACCCCGGGGCTTCTGAGGGGACTCTGGAGTCAGAGAAACCCAAGTATAGATCCCATTTCTGTCAATGTTGGAGTTACTTAACATCCCTGAGCCTCAGTTTTCTCATTTATAAAATGGGCTTAAAATAAAAGTACCCATCTGTTTGGGAGGACTTCATGAGGTTTGCATGTAAAGCACTGAATGCAGTGCCTAGCACATAGTAGGCACTCAATATACTCAATATACACTCAGTATACATAGTAGGCACTCGATGAATGGTATCTGCTTTCCTCTTTAGAAATTCGTGGCTGCTAGGGCTGGCTAAGACACAGTTGGCTCCAGGCTCCTAGTTGTGAAATAGGAAGAAGTTTCAATCTCCAAGAAAGCAAATGGGTCACAGTTAGCCTCCATCTTTCCATAAGTGACAGCTGCGGGTGGCAGTCTGTGGGAAGCGGGACTTAGCCTAAACTGAGGGGCTCTGTCCCCAGATATCCCTCCCCTTCCTCCTGTACTGTTTGAAAGTCTTACCCTGGGAGATTGTCCCTTCACGTTAAGCGTCATGCACCCCAGGCAAATGTGACAGCACAACCAGGCTTATCTTGAACCCCTCTTTCTTCAGAGGTGGGGGCCAGATCTGGGCACTCTGTGGTGAAAAGCCCCTGCCTTCGAGGCGCTCGAAGTCCAGTAGGGAGGATAAGACGTGTTCACATACAACGGCTACAGAAGGCAGAAAGGTGAAGACCCACAAACCGGGGTAAAGGCCACAGGAAGGTGCTTCACGGGTTTCCAGGAAGAAGGCGGGAACCCGGTGGCCCAGGAAATGTCCTTAGGAAATAGAATTTCTTGTTTGTAGCAAGAAGATAGAGGTTCTTCAATGCTAGCTCAAAGAATTTGACTTTGATCTGCGGTCACGATTACGCTCCTAGATAAAAACAGACTTTCTAAGGAAAAATGCCCCAGGCATACAATCTGTGCTGTTCTGCATCTTTTCTGTGTTTTTCTTCCTTTTTGCCCCTCCTGGACGCTCTGCCAGGCAGGCCACTTTTCATTCTCCTGTTTGCTGCAACTTAAAACCCTGCCATTTACCCCAAGCCCAGTTTTATCAAATGAGCCCCATTTCTCTTCCTCACCCTGTGGCTTTGACAGCATCAAACTCCTTCTTCCCAAAAGCAGCACCATCCAAGAGCCTGCTGTGCTATCTCCACTGTCCCTCCCGCCTGCTTTCCAATCTTTTCTGAAGACTCCTCCTCCAGTCCCCACATCAAAACTGGAGGCCAGACCTCCTCAGGACTGCCACAGGCCCTCTGCTTGGCTCTTCTCCCGTGACTCACGATCTGGCTGTGGGTCAGGTCACCTGTGGAGGCCAGTTGTTTCATCTGCCCTGAGCCTATTCCCCCTTCTCCTGGCAACTGGGACTCAGTTTCCTTTGGGGAACCTTCTTCCTGTCAGTCTCTGTGGCTCTGGTGGGGTTAACCCCATACTTGGCCTAGGGAATATGATCCAACCTCACCGATTAGCCTCGCTCATCTCCCGTGGCTGCAGTGACTGGGTTAGAGCCGCATTCAGGCCACTGAGTGTCAGGCTGGAATGACTGGAGGCAGGGGCTGGGTGGTGATTTCTTTGGGAAGGGCGTTCTGGAAGGATGAACTGGAGCTGCAGGGAGCACCTTGCCACTGTTGGCAAATAAAGATCATTCCTGAGAATGAAGTCAACACAGAGGCAAACAGAGGTGGAGAGCGAGAGTCCTGAAGACATTATTCAACCCTTCAATCAGACTGTGCCGGAAACTCATCCGTGCCTGACTTTCCAGTTACAGGAGTCATTTTTGCTCAAGCCAGTTCGAGTTGGGTTTCTTTTCTTGCAAATATAAGAGCCCAGAATCACACAGAGGGCCTCACCTCTCCTTACTGAGTCAGAATCTCTTCATGGTTGGTGGGAGGCAGTGACAGGGGGCCCAGATTTCCATCCTGCTTATTAAAGTTCCCAGACAGATTGGGAGCTACACCCAGGGTAGACAGTCCCTGCACTGAGCACTCACCTGGGAGAACCTGCTCATCCTGGGCTCCAGCTTCCGCCTCTCTGCTGACGACTCTCCCACGCAAACCCACAGCTCATCTCCCCTGCACGTCTCACCCACATCTCCAATGGCTTCCTGGCGGTCCAAGGAGGCCCAGACCAGGGACCTGCCAGAATCTCCCCCAGCCACTCCAGATCCCCCATTTCTTATTTCTCTCCCAGGCCTTACGATCCCTGGCGTGACACCCGGCTTCCCAACTCTGTTTCTGACCTCTGCGTGCAGTGGGCACCAAGACAGAAGAGACCTGGACCCCTGGGGGCTTCATGGAGTCAAGTTGCCAAACAAGCCTAGACTTTCCCGTAAGTGAGAAGTAACCTGGTCCATCAGAGCCACTGTTGCCGTGAGTCTGTGTTCTGTAGCCTAAGCCGTATCCTAACTCTGATCTGTATCTATTCCCTCCTAGGCTTGAGTTCCTGGGGAGCAGGGACAACTGTGCTCAGCACTCAGCAGAAGTGTAGACGCCCAAGGGACGGTGGTGTGAATGAATGGTGAGCGAAGGATGAACGAGGGGTGCTTCCAGTTTGGGCTCTTTCCTACCTATCTTACTTGACCTGTGCGACTACATCCTCTTACGTAATACGTAGAAATTGGTGGGCAAGGGAGAGAAAGGAGAAGGGGAGTGAATAAGAGCCTTCCCAGCTCAAAAATCCATCTATTCAACAGATATTTATGGAGCACTTTCTCATGCCAGGCTCTGTGCTGGCGTTAGGGACACAGCTGTGAACGAGGCAGGCTGGTGGTGGAGGCCAGCCCAGGTAAGCACTGCAGTGCAGGGTCAGTGAGTACTTGGAGAGGCCAGAAGAGGAGGCCCAACTAGGCTTGGGCATCGAACCTGAAGGATGAGCAGGGTGGCCAGGTGAAGGGATGTAGGAAGCGACCTGCCTGTGCAAAGACCTGGAGGTGAGAAAGTGCATGGTGCTTTGGGGAAGCTGAGTGGCTCCCCATGGCAGAAATGTGAAGTCCAGGGGGAAAGGCTGAGGGCTTATGCTGAGAGGTGGGCAGGAACTGGCAGGGTAAGGGGTGTGGATGTTGGGAGCAATTGATCTGTGCCAGATGTGGATCCGAAAGAGCATGAACTGAGGCCAATCTCGGAGTA